TGGCGGGAGTCAGTGAACGGCTGCATGGTGCTTAGTTGCCAGCTGTGGTTAGACAACAACAAAATGAAAGAAACATTTGGTTTGTAATGAATTCCAACTGAATTCTAATTTGGTCTCTACTTACCCAGATCTTGGCCATGTGCTCTTTCATTGCCTTGTACATAAAGCAAGGAGTAACCATGGTAAATCAGCCTTGTTCCAAATGGACATGATGGTTCTTCAGTGGTTTGACTGTGTCTGGTAACAAGGAAGCCATGAGCAACAGATGGTGCACCTGGTGGGCCCATGGCCCCAGGCAAACCTTCAGGGCCAGGTGGACCAGGGAATCCTCTGGGTCCTACAATACAGAGAGTCTCCTTTTATCTCTACAGACAGCAGTACTCTGCTTACATAACTAAAGAAGTGAAATTAGCTACATTCATACCTAATCTCCTATGTTATTTTTCTATAAAGGAATCAAGTCTTTGAAAAACTCATGGGCTTACCTGGGGGACCATAAGGACCAACTTCTCCTTTTTGCCCAGGTTTACCATCAAATCCTGGACTACCAGGTGGTCCAGGTACACCTGAAGGTCCTGTCACCCCTGTTGAAAAACAAGGAATAGTTATTACTGGATATTACTTCATGTTAGCTCTAACATTTTGTCTTTTAATACAATACGGCACAGGCACACCTCAGCATAAACTAAGTCATGCAGACTCAGGGTGCATATTTCAATATCTAGAGCACATATATGGGTTACTGCAGGCGAAGTGATTATAGTAGAGAAGAATAGAGAAGTAAGCAGAGGGTGTGCTTCTAAAATAAATAGTATTTGCCTGGAATATTAAAAGGAAGGGAAGCAATCTCTTCCCTCTCTGATTATCATATGACTCAGTCAAAAACAGACCATAAAAAAGTAGGGTCATGAACAGTGAAAAAATCAGTATTTTCTTAGCTTCTTCCTAAATGGGTTTTCAGACATATAGTATGACTTCCGTTTGTCAATTTCTAGGGATGCTTTGAGTCCTATGTAAACTCAGTAACTTTGATTTTGGGAAAAAGAAGTTAACACCATCCACACCATACCAACATTTCTGTGGCACATCAGAAGCTTTAGATAGTCACAGCAGTCCTTTTCGTGAGCACTCAAAAAGCAATATTGTGTTCATGTATTGAACTGACTACTAAAGATCTGTGACAGATCCCTTACAAGCAAACTCATGCTGTATTCAGTCACTGAGATTATTTCATAGCTATTTTCTAATGGATGGCAGTTGCAGAGTTGTAACTCCACCTTCAAGAGCAAACTTCCATATCTATTATATTAAATAGAAAGAAGATATTAATTATATTCCACTGTAATTCTCCATCATCTTCTCATAAAACAATCACGAACAAAGCTTTCCCTTAGAATCTTAATAGCTTAAAAACCACCTCTGAGCTCCCACTCTCCATATCCTGTCATTCTGAAGGACATGTGTCCTTGTGCCAGCATTTCATTTGTTTTATCCTTTGCTCCATTCTCTTCTACCCTAATGTGTTTAATTTTTGCAGTTCACCTTTTCTTCATAAAAATTGCAATGTCTGGACTAAGAGTCAAAATCTAGGACTACGGAACAAGCTTTCTCAAGAAGCACTTTCCACTCCAAGGTCAAGGTGTTTTTCCTCATGCTTGTCTTCTCCCAGAGACACACAGTAACTAAGTTTGGATTCAACGCTAAAGATAGAAGATACCCTAACAAATACATTCTGGAAAAAGGATGAGCAATGTGTTGCATGTCATTCTGCTTACTGCTGATCTCAGATACGGATGTGATGACTGCAGAGTGAGAGCCTATTAAAAAATCACTAGGAAGGCATCTGTTTCTGGGACTTCTTTGCATGAGTTTCAAAAAGGACTCTCTTCCTCACTGCTGACACAATTTAAGTGGCTTACCAAAAGCTGGATAATATTATATCAAAAACCTCCTGGTGTCTAGCCTACCATTGGTCTATTTTTACATTACTTAAAATGCGTTTCTACGGGCAAGTTAGAAATTCTCACCTTGCTGTCCTTTGGGACCTGGAAGTCCTGGGAATCCTTTGAGACCAACTGGTCCTACAGGGCCAGGTAAGCCAGGATCCCCTTTAACAAGCTGAAAAGCACCTGGTGGGCCTGGTGGGCCTTGTAAACCTGCCAAAGTTAACAGAGGAAATCGGCACATATTTAGTATTGCACAATAAAAAAGTGAGAAAACAATGTTACCTTGTATTGTCATTTATGTAATCAGAGAATAGACAGAGCTTGTATCTATAAGATATCAATGTGTCCAAACTTTACATGTCCATTGAGTAGGGGCATACCTGTTAAGAAGCCAAGTCTGAAGTTGACTGAGGGTAGAAGACAATGGGGTTCAAGGCACAACGGGGGAAACAGGCAGGGCTGGGCCTCTGCCACTGACAAGCCTCTGGTAACACCTAAGCAGCTGCACATGCTGCTGCTGAAAACCATATTGCTACCTCCTACATTGCCATCTCCCACCAGACAGGACAGAGGAGCCCCACAGATGTAGCTCTGCTAGAGCGGGTCCAGAAGAGGGTCATGAAAATGAGTAGGGGGATGGAACACCTCTCCTATAAAGAAAGGCTGAGGGAGTTGGAGTTGTTCAGTCTGGAGAGGAGAAGGCTCCGGGGAGATCTTATTGTGGCATTTCAATATATAAAGGGGGTGTATAAAAAAGCCAGAGAGAGACTTTTTACCAGGGTCTGGAGTGACAGGACAAGGGGCAACATCTTAAACAGAAAAAGGGTAGATTTAGATTGGACTGAAGGAAGAATTTTTTTACAGTGAGGGTGGTGAGACACTGGAACAGGCTGCCAGGAGAAGTTGTAGATGCCTTCATTGGAAATGTTCAACATCAGGTTGGATGGGGCTTTGAGCAACCTGACCTAGTGAAAGATGTCCCTGCCCATGGCATCTCTAAAGGTCCCTTCCAACCCAAACCATTCTATGATTCTAAATGGTATCCTAGAATCATAAAGATTCTAATAATGATAAAAAATTAGTATTGATTTTTCAGAGCAGGAGATAAATACATTCACTCTCTACCCAATACTTAAACCTAATCTGACCATTCAGATACTGATACCATGATATCTGGTTTCATGTTTTACCATTTTGCACTGAATAAACGGGGGAGGGAGATATCCATTGATTACTCACAAATAACAATGTTAACAACATCATCTGTGAAAAAAAGCTAGTCTTTATATTATACCTTTAGATCCAGGAAGACCTTGGTCACCTCGCTCACCCTTAAGACCTGGGAAACCAGGAGATCCTTTTGGACCTGAAGTCAAAGGAAACATTTATATGAAAATTCAATAATTTCTTGATTTGGAAGGATATGTGCAGAATAATCATGTACGACCCCATGATCATGTAAGGGCCATGACTTTATTTGCACAAGTACTTTTTAACTGTTTGCCAGAACAAGATACAAACAACAGTCCTAAGTCACAAAAGAAATTATGACTGAAAACAAGTTTCTCTTACCTTAATTAATAATATCCTTCTCTAAATGCCAAGAATTAATTTTTTCTATTCATAACTGCATTTTTTATATACGCAGTGTTTTCATATATGTGATGGTGACAGTAGCAGCAATATAGTCAACAACGGAGACATAATGAACCTGCATTTCCTCAAATATAGCTATAACATTTGCCTCTCCAACTCTCAAGAAAATCTTGAAGATTCTTGACTGCCAATGTCTAAATGATTGTTTTTACATCCAGCTTTTAAAGCAAGTGCACACTTAAAATTGGCAAAGCAAGACAAGAGGCAAAAGGCAAAAAACCTTGAGGAAGATCCCCATGCTCTTGTATGCTTTTTGATGCAGCTGTCAATGTCCTGTTTCAGTAATTTGTAACAGAGTCAACACTCTTTGAGCATCTTTTTTTGAGAGAGGAAGGATATTAAAGAGACATCTTTGCATACTTGTTAGGAATATGGTAAATTTTCTTCTCACCTGGAACACCTGGAACTCCTGGAGGTCCCAGATCACCCTTTTGACCAATATCTCCTGGTAAACCAGGACTACCCTGTATAAAAGAAAATGTGAAGTATAGTTATCCTACACTATTATGATATGACTCTCAAATAGGCTGTGTATTTTTGGAAACCTATAAAAAAGATTTAATATGAGAGAAAAGTCATTAAGTTTAAGGAATAGTTATTCTCTACCATGATTAGATAAAGCTTCTCTTACAAGTGTGACACCTTGTTCGTACTAAACTATTTTTTGCCTTACAAAGATACTAGCTCAGAATAAGATCTCACTAACTGTATAGCTAATATAAAGGTTCTCAACCATAGACCATATTGTTATGAAAAACATCATTAAGCACAAATCCCAGCAAATACTAATTTCAGTGCAGCCCCAGCAGGCAGCTGCTAGTTAGATAATTAAACGGGGTAATTCTACACCGCAGCAGACTTGAAAATTTTTACATTCACACGTGGAATGAAATTAAATGTGGTCAACAATTTATAATCCTCTGAAGTTTTTTACTTTTCAACAGGGCTAAAATACTCAAGGACTTAAACACTTCAAACACAATGCAAACTCCTCCTTCTGCCTTCACTGTTATAAACTGCTCCCCTGAAATTAATGGTAACAAATTCATTGTAGGCTCACTTCACAGAAAACCAAACCCATATTTCAAAAGACACTGTAAATAGTCATTTAAATGACTGCCTATTTCCTTTTCTTCTTTTGTCTGTTGCAGATCACCTGCAAAAAGCTTGTAAGTAGAGTTTCTCCCTGGCTGAAGTAAGACAGCAGTGATAGTCCCCAAAGATACAACAAAATGGGGAACACAGGTGGAGGAAAGAAACAAAATTCCTTTGCTAAGTAACTTACCAGTCAGAGGTTGGAGATATGAATTGAGTACTGAGTGAAAAATAACACCAATGGTAGGATCACTGGAAGTGTTCAAAAAACACATAGACGTGGCACTTCGGGACATGGTTTTGTGGGCATGGTGGTGTTGGGCTGATGGTAGGATTTGATGATCTTAAAGGTCTTTTACAACCTTAATGATTCTGTGGTTCTGTGATTCATCTCAACATATTTGAAAAGCAATAGAATAGACACACAGGAGTGATTCTTCATTTGATAAAAGTTAGATGTTTTTATTATTATGAGAAGAATGGCTCTCTACAAACATCTTCAAGAAGGAAATCTTAAAGGTGCAGGAGCAGGCAGTCCCCATGTGCCATAAGAAGAGCTGGCGGGGAAGGAGACTGGCCTGGCTGAACAGGGAGATTTTGCTGGGACTCAGGGAAAAGAGGAGAGTTATCAGTCACCTCTGGAAGAAGGGGCAGGCAACTCACAAAGAGTACAAAGATCTCGTTAGGTCAAGCAGGGACAAAATTAGAAAGGCAAAAGCCCAGCTAGAGCTCAGTCTAGCCACAGATGTAAAGGATAATAAAAAATGCTTCTACAAATATATTAACAACAAAAAGAGAGGCAAGGAGAATCTCCATTCCTTACTGGATATGGCGGGGAACGTTGTCCCCGAGGATGAGGACAAGGTTGAGGTACTTACTGACTTCTTTCCCTCAGTCTTTAATAGCCAGTCC